TCTTTTTTTTTTTTTTTTTTGATTTGCTTTTTAAGGATCTTATTTAAATAATGGTAAAACATTTTTATTTAAAGGATTATTTCTTCTACTGTTATATTCTGATATGGTGCCTAAGAAGAGACAGAGAAAGTAAAAGAGAGAAAGGGAGGTAGAACAATAAAAAAGATGAATAACATAAAAGAATAAAAGCAATAAAAGGATAACTAATTTGCAATGTAAATTTTTTTTTATTTTTGGTTCTTTTTAGGATAAAAAGAAATTTTTTAATTTCGAAAAAATTAAATGATATACGAATATTAGATTAAGAACTTAATTTTCCAATTTTGGAATATTCTGGAATATTTATAATAATAAGGCACACATATAAGTACGATTACAATCAAAGTATTCAATTTTGATATTTGAAATGAAAGAAAAATTATTCACTTATTCTTTTTTAGGTTCTGATTTTAAAATTACTATTTCTTATGTCGGACAAGATTCATATTCAACTTAAAACAAAAATCTATATTGAAAATATTTCAATTCAAATTTTTAATTTCAAAATCATATCGTAATTTTATAATAACGTATTTGGTGTCGTTTCAGTATATTTCTTTGCAAAAACCCTTGGTTACGCCACAGTTTATGTTCCTATAACATTTTTCACTCATCAAACGCTACTCAAATGAAAATAAGACGTGTTTTTCTTTCTCATTTAAATTGAAATTAGCCTCGCCATTAATAATATCGTCTATTCACTCATAATTCTTCAATAAGTTCAATATCACAAATTAAAAATTATTTTTTTTTTCATTTTTGCAACACTTTTTTGACTTTTCCCTGAAAATCACTATTATTTGACAAAAGCAAGTTATGAATATTTATAAAATGATGGTGCTTACAATCAAAGCACATGAGGCCCTTATTAGCCTTTCCGAAAACATTTTGTTGTAGTTTCTATCTTTGCTACACTGAAAGTTATTGTCGCGCAAAAGAATGGGCAACCAAAAACTTTCAGATAACTTTGGTTATGTTAAAAATAATTTATACTTGAATCTAGTTTTGAACTAAAATCGAACTTCAATGTTTTAAATGCAATGGTAAAGTAAGGTATCTGTTAATAAATTACTTAGCATGAGTAAAGTAGAAAAAACGCCTAAACTGGCATTGTGGATTCCTCATTAGACTTTATTTTTGCGACAAATGCGACTATAGATCACTTTTGTGAATTTTTCCAATAGAAATTTGAAATGTTTATGCATTGTCATTGTACTGCAAATTGGTTAGCAAACAATTTTTGTGAAATAAGCTGAATCTAACACTTTCAAACTTTTAATTAATTACTCGCTCATACTACTATTTCACTGGAACAAATTTGTAAAACACGTTTTGCAAGTTAAAATAATTTTCTATAGCTATATAGAGCGCTTTGGAACTGAGACAGATAAGCACAAAGTCGGGAATCAAATCTCCAATGCAAACAAAAAATTAAATATAAATATTTATTGCAGTATTTAAATACTGACAGAAATTAATAATGAAAAATTTTTTGGAACCACCTATCCAATCTATACTTTTTCTAATAAATTTGCTAAATCAATCCTAAAATAAGCTAATAAATTTTTTAATTTTAAAATTTATTATTACACTTTGAAATTAACTGACAATAATGTCAGAGTTTACATTTCATATAACTCATATTTCATGTTACTTTCACTGACTGTATTTGCATTCACTGTTCTTAATTTATTCCAATTGTATAGAAAAATCTCTTCCTTGACAGGTTTTTATATATAAAATGCTGTAATGAATCTAAGGTTTTTGCAAAATAAATGAAAATATCTTATATACCATCGCATGTCAAACCTTTATCAATATTCACAAATGAAAATTTTAATGTAAATATTTAAGCAGTGTTGCCATATTATTATACAAATAATGTAAATGGTCATTGTAATGAAGGAGGAATAAAATCAAGAAAAATCGATTATGGTATTATAAAAGACAAAGAGAAAAATTTATTAACAAGTGAGGAGTTGATTCTAGGGGGTGGACAATATTAAAAAAATGTAGGAGAAGAGATTTGTTCGGGTTCAGGGAATGTTTATGTATTACATATAAATAGATTTCCGTACAGCTACAGATAAACAAATGTATCCTTAAAATAATTTTGCGTGAACAGAAAATTTATCTATGTTTATCGTAAAATTTGGCTCATCAGTCATCAATTAAGAAAAATGACCCATTTAAGAGCATAATTGGATCCTCATTGGTATAAAAGTATTTATATGTATGTATATGTGTAAAGTATATTTACTTATGTTTGAAAATTTCAAGAGAGGTCTTTTACGATTTTATTGTTTTTTTTTTTTTTTTTTTTGTTATATCGTCACATTGATTTTATTGAACGTTTTTTATTGATTTTAACAACATAACATATTTTTATACATATATACAAACTGATGTAATAAATATATACGAGTATAGAGATGAAGATGTTGTAAAATTAAGTGATTAATTTAATGTATTGAAAGTGTAATGAACCAAGAGGATAATAAAAATTCCTAATGAAGGGGGTTTTATTTAACGAAGTAATTACGTCTAATAATTATATTTCAATTTTTAAATAATGCTTGTCCTTTAACCCTTATGTATATTCAGGATGATTCAGAAAGGTATACAACAACATATGGCCATTGATTACAGGATCGAAAATGTATAAAACTTTTTTCACGGACTGGGTGCCAAATTTCAAGGGCTTCTGTGTTCCAGAGATTTTAACGCATTTTCCCGAAATTTTTACTTATTTAAGTTTTTTTTTATTATAAATTCCGTTCTGATATGAAAAAATAGGAACTTCAAACAACAGTTTCTGAAAGGCCTAGTAAAGGCTTAAAATAGACATGCTGCTTGATTCTGTATTTTTTCTACCTTCTAAATACAAAGAATTCGAACTTTAGGGAAAATCAAATTTTTCCCTTGTTTTATTTTTTCAATTTTTTCTAACTAAATTAATGTGAAGTGAAGTTATCTAAATTTCGTAAGATATTTTTTGAAACCTTGAAATTTCTTTTTGGAGTATAAATAGAATTTTGCCCAGCTGCTTAAGCTTTAATTTATGTTCTCATAACACAAAAACCATTTCTATTTAAAGGCCCTATTTTTTTTTATTTTTATTGATTTTAAGTGCTGGAATTATCAACTATCATTTATTTTGAATGACGAATCACACGACAAAATAATTGACATTGTTAAGAGCCAGTATGCACTGAAAATTATAAACCATCTGAATTTTAATGTTTTTATTGAAATATAACAAATAATAACAAAATTGAAACGAAATTTTATACAAACTTTAAATTTGAAAAACAAAAATTGATTTTAAAAAATTTGGAATTTTTGAAAACAAAAACTAGAATTTTGTATTACAAAAAACAAAAAAAAATCTAGTAATCACAAATTTTTTTCGAAACTTTTCTTGATAAAAAAAATTAATAGGTTTTTTATTTTTGCCAATTTTTATAAGAAATGGTACCTATATGGTTTGAAATTTTTAAATTCATTTTCCCCACATTGGGTGCAATTTAAAAATTTGAAAAAAATATTTTCGAAATCTGGACACCATTTGGCATCTGAAGTTATTAAAACTAACAAGCTCGAGCGAATTTTTAAAGGCATGCCATACAAATTTTGATATTTATTCTAATAGAAATTTTTTTTTTCTATAGAAAAATAGAAATAGGAAAATTTAATTTTTTTGAATAAAATGGAGTTTGTGGTATTTACATTATGATGCTAATAAATAATTAATAAATAATTTAGTGGGGTTCATAAATTTTAAACATATTTCAACAAAAGCTAAAATTGGTGTACGGTTGATGCAACTAAAGAGGTGTTAAAGTAAAGCAATTAATTGAAAACATGCGATTGAATAGAAATCGATTTGAAAGAAAAAAAACATATATAAATGTTTGCCAAATTATGTGAATTTAATAGGAGAATTTTCCAATTTTTTGATAAAGAAATATTAAATTGAATTCAATTTTAGTTTTATCAACATCTGGTCTGATTTTAATTGAATTTGTGGCTCACAATATTTGTGGTTTTTGTACTATATCTTCTGTACCATAAAAATTTTTTTAATGTTTGAGGGCTTAAATTAAAGTTTAAGCAGCTAGGAAAAATTCTACAAAAAAAATTTCAAGTTTTTAAAAAATTTCTTTCGAAATTATTTAGTTGAAAATTTGAAACAACGAAAAAATTTGATTTTTCCTAAAGTTCGAATACTTGGTATTCCGAAGGTACTTAAAATACAGAATCAAGCATGTCTATTTTAAACCCTTTATTAGGCCTTTCAGAAACTGCTTGTTTGAAGTTTCTATTTTTTCATATCAGAACGGAATTGATAATCAAAAAAAAAACTTAAATAAGTAAAAATTTCGTGAAAATTCGTTAAAATCTCTGGAACTTAGAAGCCCTTGAAATTTGGGACCCAGTCTAGAACAATAATTTTACCCATTTTCGATCCTCTAACTAGTGTTATATATTGTAGTATACTTTTCTGATTCACCCTGTGCATATAATATATCGCATGTACATTAGTCATTTAGGCTCAAAATAATACTGAAGAAAATTGATAATTAAAATTTAAGTATTGTTCTCATTTACAGGAGCCTAGGATATTAGAAAATTGAGTAATTTTTAAAATTAAATAAGTATAGGAAAATTTGGATTAAGATTTTTTTTAATATTTTGATATAAGACTCGCTTGATAAAAGGCTATAGTTTCATAACAATAAAAGAGCTTTTATGTCGTTCGAATTAAATCTATATGTGTAAAAAAATTTCAATGTTGCCAGACAATTCAAAAGTGAGAGGAGAACATAAAATTATAATTTAGTGCAGTTTGAAGAAAATTAAAATTTAGCAATAATTTAGAAAGTCTTAAATTTTTGGCATTATTAAGCATGTAAGGAGGACTGATTAAATAACATTAATTTTTTATAATATCAACTTACCATATTAAATGTATTGTTAGAAGAAATGCACCTGGTACTATTAAATCGTCGGATCCAACGGACCAACGACGTCGGAAGACAACCAAACCAGGCATCTGAAATTAAAAAGAAAAAATAAATAAATTATCATATTTGAAAAATAATGTTATTTGCGTAAATTTATTTGTTTTAAAAAAATATTATAAAATTTTAAGAATTACCAGCCGCTTACGAGGAAAGTAAGATATTGAATTACTATGTCGGTATTATACGCTTGCATTAGAAAAAAATTTGTTGTAATTGAAGAAATTTTTTGAATGTACTTAAAAATCTTATTATATCTATTTTCTAAAATGAAAATAGTAAGGGAATTAGGGGACCTTAGCATATAGGTGATTTGCGCTATTGGATTTATGTTTGGTAATGTCCTAATTATCTAAATTTCTGGAAAAAAATTCTGCAAAAATTGGTAAAAAAGTAGTAAGAGTGTCGCTTTCCTCGGGTACAAAGCCCAAGAATATTAAATAAGAATTTTTAAAGCGATTATATTATATACACTAATTATGTACTTACTGAGCATTTGGCGTATAATCATAAAACTATAGTTCAGATTAATGAATTTAGGCCAAAGCAAGGGTTTTTCAAATATCATATTATATTTAAATTGCTCATTCAATACCTGAAATTTTAATGAAGTAGTAACAAATTAACGAAATTATACGATTAATTAGAATTTAAATTATTATTTAAAATATTTATTTGCTTTTGCAGAAATTTGAGAGTTTCAAAGAAATAAATCAGCCTAAACAGACACTTTGCTAAATTTGAGATACAAAACACGATAAGGAGGAAATAGAAAAGAAAATTTCTCTAATAAAATGAATTATTTAAGTATTATAACATCTGGAAGGTGTTTAAATTTCTTACACCTAAAGTTGCCTAAGAGAAAAGCGATATTAAAAGGTATATGCAAATTTTCTCGGAGAGAAATATCGGGTCCCGAGGATTATTCTTAAAAAATATTGAAGTTGTACATGGAGCGATTTCACTGTACTCTGTATTAAGCAGAAATAATAATGTACGTAATGAAAAGAATAAACATACTCAAAATATAGTGCTTAAAACATTGTCAACATATGCACCAGATTAGGTCAATATTTCATGAATGAGTAACAAAAAGTTTGCAAATGCTGAATTACAACTGTACAAATAATGCACGTTTTACAATTCTATAACGAGTACGTATATAAGCAATTCAAAAAATCAGAAAAATTATTCCAAATAATCGGAAGTTAATTGCATACTAGTGTTGTTTAAAATTTAAATTAGAATCATATAAATAATAAATCGAATAAAGGTTATTTAATTTTGAATAGCGTAAACTCATAATAAAAACAAATACCTTTTATGGTCAAATATTCCACATTTCGAAAATATTCATAGAATTGACATTTCTGATTATTATGATTCAGTGATTAAAAAAACCTAGACATTATTCATAGCGAATATTAACATAAAAATAAAAATAGGAATTGAAAATATTCACATCAGTGTTGTCAAATCATGCGAAACTTGTAATTACGTGAGAATATTGAAATATTTAAGGGAAAGAGAGAAAATAGTGAAAAATCGTGAGAAAAGTTTTTATTAATTTAGTGCAATTTTTTCTCAATTTCATCTTGTTAAATCTTAAAATTTTTATTTTAATTTGGAACTTTTGAGAAAAAAGTAACATTTTCCAATAAGCTTTTAAATTTTCCGCGTTTTGCTAACACTAAAATGCAAATTATCTACTCTTGAAAGTTACAAACATTGACAATAATTGACAATTACTATTACGTTCGAGTTTCACGTAATTTAAAGCATTGCAAGCTTGATTTTGAAGCGATGGAAAAAAAATTAAGAGTCATGGAACATATTTAAGATGGACACGTGAAATTCGGCACGATCACAATACCTCACTTATAGTATGCAATACTGTCGGTAAAACTAAAAATCTGTATAAATAGAAATAAAAAATAAATATAAATTGAGAACAATAGAGTTGACAACACTGATTCACATTTCACTAATTCTTTATGTTGAACTTTCACTTCAATTAATCAGCATTCGATTCGAGCGTTTTTTATTTTTAAAAACAAGGAAATTGGAAGAATGTAGAAAAAAAAGCACGAAATTCTTACGCAATTGTTTAGTAAAACCTCATCTGTCACTTAATTTAGAACGGAATAATTGTTGTTTTCAATCAAATTAATTTGTTATGCATAATAAAATTATTTAATCCCGTATATGATTAGAATTTCGTAATAAGTTATTTCACTCTGTTTATTATCAGCTGAGTACACAAATGTTAATTAATTCAAAATTAAATATATTCGAACTGCAATAGATTTTTACGATATTGAATTGGAAGCGAACCTATAAATACTGTGATTCTTCATATTTAAATGTTTAATTGCATTTAGAAAATGTTAACGAAATTATTTTGGTGTCATTTTGTCTTAGTTGCATTTCTTAGTTTCGAAGTATTCGGGCAAGGTGTACTTTTTAACTTGCATTCAATTTATAAAATTATTTAATAAAGTATTTGTGTTTCATTTTTTTAAAGAATGTAGAATTGATTTCAAAAAGGATTTAACATCAAAATCTCCAGTTTTTCTTAAGAATGGTAAATTACAAACGCCATTAGGACAATATTTAAAATGGAATACCGGTGAAGAATCCAATTTGGTTTGTAATGGACCAAAGAATTTATTTATAAATGGTAAGGCAAGTAAAACATATGGTTAGGAAGTATATTTTACATTAATCTGTAAAACTATCAAAATATTTTCTACAGAAAATATCAATACTGTTAGAATTAAATGTAATAACAATATTTTAACTGTGAATGGTAGAAGAGTTGATCTAAAGAAATTGGAATGCAATTCAATAAGTACCGGTGATGTTAGAACAACCAACAAAAAATGTGAAGCCAATGGAAATATTCTAGAAATTGGATTTGATACACAAAATGACGGATTCGTAAAATACATTGAAGTTTGTTATAATTTGAAATCAGCATCGGTAGTTTATACTCGACATACAATACCAGGAGCTGCCATTGACTGTAAGTTACGCCATGAACATTAAATTTAAAAAAAAGGGAATGTGCCACAGTTAAGAATTTAGACAGAAATCTTTTCTAAATTAATTAACACTTAGGATTTTCTACGAAATCTAATATTCTGAAAATTTTATTATAACAATCTAAAATACATACAATTTTTTTCTGAAAATTTCAGATAGTATTTCAGAAAGTGCACGTCCTACATTTAGTACAAAAGGTATGCCAAAACATGTTCGACCGAATACATCTTATAAACAAAGCAACGAATTGGAACGCTTAACAAATTTATTGGGCGCGAGATCAGCAAAAGGTTATATCAAGCCAAACTCTTTCCTAGCAAGAGGTCATTTGTCACCAGATAAAGATGGAATTTTTAGAGGTTGGCAATTTGCAACCTATATGTATGTAAATGTTGCACCACAATGGCAGGTTAATACTTTTACAATCTATATCTATATTTAACTATTCATTTAATTTATTTTATTATAGACAATTAATGCTATAAATTGGTTAAAAGTAGAAAATTTAGCTAGAAAAAAAGCTGCTTTACTAAATGATAATTTAGAGATTGTGACAGGAGTTTCAGGATTGTTATCTTTACAAAATGATCGAGGTCAATATGTACAGATTACATTGGAGAATGATGGAAATATTCGTGTACCAGAATATTTTTGGAAAATTTTAAAATATAAAAATTCAGCAATAGCTTTTGTGACATTAAATAATCCATTCGAATATACGAAACCATTCTGTACAGATATTTGCGGAAAATATGGCTGGCCAACAAGTGATTTTGATATTGTTGAAAAAGGTTTAACGTTCTGTTGTAGTACAATTGAATTAAGCAATGCTTTTCGAAGTGACGTGCCAAAAGATATGATTACTAAGAGTATTTTAAAATTTTAAAATATTGAAAAATAAATAAAAATCTCGTAGTGCTTATTACAAAATATTTACTATTCTAATAGTAGCATAAATTTTAACAATTAATGATGTTGGAAAGTGCATGTGAAAGTTTATAATTTGATCGACAAGTAAGCAATTATTAAACAATAAAATTTATGTTTGAATTTATTGTTTTATGAAATATTGTGTCTAGACTTTTACTTTCATACCAACACAATACTATAATGCAAATCAAGAAATACAAAAATATTGTACATTTTCTCGGACATATGAAATACTAATAAGAGTGAATTTATAAGCATTTCACCAACAATTCAACTATAGGAATTTTAGTGACGCCACGTTTGCTCTCACAAAAATTATTATTCGCATATATTATTCTATACAACATTGATTTACTATTTTACGACAATGATATTATTCACAAAATTTTAATACTTGATGCTACAACTGGATACTTATTATACCTTGCAATTACAATAATCTATTTAAATTTAGTCTTGAATCACAAATAATGTGGCCAATAACTAATTAAATGTAATAATAAAAGGTATACGAAGGCTTATAATTCCAAAATTACTAAACAAAAATTATAGATTTCCAGTTTTAATTCTTACATATAGATTTTCATTTTGCCTTACATTTAATTCTCTCCATTAAAGTGCCGCTTTTAAATTAATTTGTAATACTAATGCCGAAAACTTCTTTGATTTTTTTAATAATCATGCCCATTCCAATTTAGATTATTTATATCTTATTCCTGTTTTGTAATGAGCGTGATTATTATAAGATTAACGACTAACATAATCCTAACCACTATGTACGTATAAGTAGTTAAAAGATCATTAAAGATAGGAGCAGTTTAAATAAATTACTCCCCTATTGTGAGTTTAAAATTTATTTTTTAATTATGTAAATATTTCATTTAGTTTTCTATTTTAGCTCTTTTCAACTCAGATTATTAAGGTGTGTAGAATTTATTTGCTCCATTGTATACACATTCCCTAATTTTATAATCTATATTTTTGGAATTACGTTATACTTCCAGAAATTAATTATGTCATCCGTATTTGATTTACGATATACCGGAAAACTTTGACTTTTTCTTTTGTACTAACATTTTTTTCATGTACTTTTATCTTACCTTTTTTTTAGCAAATTTTTATAAAAACAAACCGCCAAGATATCATAAATTTTAAAAAGTAAGTTTTTGTTTTTATTCTACGTTAGATAATCATTTAGATTTAGACTATAAAGATAAGTAAGTGTCTCGTTATAATTAATTTAAAAAAATGTTATCATTTATTTTATATTACTTTGAACAGCGTGTAACTTAGTGGTATGATTAACTTAGTGTCTTTCTAATCCGAAAGAGTACACTGATATAGTGAAGTATGGTTATACAAGTAAACGCACACATAAAAAAGAAGTTTGAATTTTACTTAATTTTTTAGTAATTTTATTAAGGTGAGTTTAATTGTAAATTAAAAATATGTATAAATAAATAAAAATTAAAAGCTTATCATTGAACTAACAATAAATGTTTGCACATAAGAAGCTTTAAACACCTTTAAATATCTTATATGAGTTCATATCAACTTATATTTTTATTAGGTTGATTTTAATTCAAAATTTTTTATGACCGTGATTAAGAGATGGCACTTTAATACAATGTATACATATATCGGCATACAATGTACAAATTTTAAATAAAAGTTTAAGTAAAAGGGAAATACTGGGGCTCATTCTGAGGATCAAATCACTAAATGAAAGTGATATTTAAAAATTTTATCGTAAATTTATATTTAAACTTTGATATCGTAAAAATTTTAAAAACTTATAGATATTTGCATCAACTAGTTGACTTATAGATTTTTGTATGAATTGGTTTGTGTTTGCAATAATAATATCGAACTGTTTACGATAATTATTGGTATCACTTACAGTGGTTCGATACTCAGGATTAGTTCCGAATCTTCTGTTTTATTTACTGTATGAGCTTTCGAGAACATAATAATATATTATATGTCTGCCATACCTGACTAGTATACAAATATTATATGTAGACCGTAGAATGTATTTAAAATTATAGAAGAACAGCTCATTTCATTTACATTTCTTTGATTTTTGTCGAAAACCACCGATTAGCGACGCTATTATAGATAATTACATTGTTTTAAAACAAATAATATTTTCGATTTTCTAAAGTTTATTTTTCAAAATTCATTTCATTGCAAGTTTGCCTAATTTTCGCACATCTCTGCAAACTGAGATACATAAAAGATATGTTCAATATTAAATCTGAATTTTAAATTCGAAAGTAGATATATTCGTTTGCATACTTTCCGGGAGTATCACCTAAAAATTTTATTTTACGCTCTTGTATTTGCAACGCAAATCTCAGTTTTGTTTAAAGGGTGTAAGACATTTGTTATTAAAACTAATTGCACACGATCGTCAATTTTTAATATAAAAGACGTACATCACTTTCGTGTTTGCCAGTTTTTAAAAAAAAAAAACTTGGTGCTCATATTTTCACACTTTCATAATTGTGTTAAAGTTTTCCGATTATTGAATAATATATTTTGTTCCTCAATCTTTCCTACTTACAAAATTTAATGTGTATGAAAAATATTTGAAAAACATGTTAAAATCTTTTTTTTAAAAATTGACTAACAATTTAATTCAATATATCATTTTTCGAAAATGAAATTTTATAAAGTGGAAAATATTAAATCAATCAATATCTTCCCATTTAACAAATTTGGGATAAGTAATAAGAAGTGTGTACTTATCTTAGGAAAATTTTTATAGATTTTGTAAATTATCATACAAAATACATGCATACATACATCATAAGATTGTGCATGAATGTATATATAAGGAAAAATCTTTATTCAACAAGGATCCAAGTGTACCTTTAAATAGTAACTCACATTAAAGTGGACCTCTCATATTTATACTCTGTTGAAATTGAATTCCATTGAGATTTTGAGGTTTTTTATCTGTTATAAAAAAAATGATGAATTCCGTTTTTTTATTATTAGAAAATTTGATGTTTTTTTTTTTTTTTTTAAAAATAATTTTTTTTAGGAATTTTAAATTCCAAAAAATATTTTTTATTGGTCCGACTCGATTTTTAAACTATTTCAATAATTGAACATTGATCATCATCAAGTAAGGCAAATTAAATTAAAGTAGAGGTTCGAATCGGGGACGATGTCAGGGTGGCGGTCAGTGTCGAAAATTTCAAAATAATTTTTTATTTTTTTTACTTTGGAATAAAATTTAAAATTACAGTCGAAAACCAGAATGTAGAAATTTATAATTGCATTATCTTATATTTTCGAACAGAGTTATCTATCTAATTTCATGAATAATCGAAAATATTCTAAACTCGATCATTCAAATATTCAAAAACATCGAACAAATTTTAATAAACATTTGAGCTTTTCTTATAAATGATTTCATTTGTGATAATCTTAATAATTTTTCTTTAACAAATATGACAAATATCTTGATTATTAGCTGTTCTGATATTCGCCTATATTTATGCAATTTATGAAATTTAAAAAAAATTTTAATCCAGAAAAAAAGTGCCGGCTTTAGTTTAAAGTTAATAGTTTAGTTTAAAGTTTAAGTTTTGCTCTTATTACTGCAATTTAGTCTAATTTAAATTGCAGTAATAAGAGCAAAATAAAGAAAATTTAAGAATATTCAATATATTTAATAGTGGTGTTACCAATCTTAAGATTTTAAATAAGCGTATACATGCTATGATTAGGGCTTGTGTTATTTTGTTAAACAGTCCAAATTGTTGGTTTATTAGTCTATAAATTTCCATGAAATTTGCTTCTTTGCATAACATAAATTTCGAGTTACACCTTAAAGAGTGATATCTTTTCTTTAATTTTTCTTTTACATTCAATCAAAAGCTGTAAAATTGACGAAGGTATGTATAAGACATGGCAACTGTAAACTAAATGGTTTCTACTTAATAATCAATCTAAAAACAAATTTATTACAAAGAAAAAAAAAATCTCATTACAAATACAGGAAAGAGGGTAAGGGGAAAATAAATATGTAGACGTCTTCACAATACCAATAATATACAAGTATAACAGTATACTCATACAAATACACCAGCAGAAATATTCATGTGGAAAAGTGAGAGCAACAGGAAGAGAAAAACAGAACACAAAGAAACTGAACAAAATAAATTTTTTTCTTTTATTTTTTTTTATTTTTGTTAGTTAGTGACATGAGGGTTTCTTCTATATTTATGTTGGTTTCTACATGTATTGAAAAATCTAGAACTTCCCGAGCCCAAAAATTATTCAAGGATCTTAAATACAAATTCATCATATCTTTTTCTCTTTTCATATTCTTGTTTCCTTTTTTATTTTGAAACCATTGTATTTTTGTGCTAACGAAAGCATCAATCAAAATTTTCATAAGAATTTCAGAATGTTAAATTTTTTCTTTTCTCTCTTCTTTTGTTTGCCAGAGTGAAGAATACTTTTAAATTTGCCTTCTGACTTCACCTTTTAGTTCTTCCAAATTTGGGTTGCTTCATTTTATAAAATTAAAGCTGTGGTAAGTCAATGATAAGAAAAAAGCTGGTGGTCGAAATTTTTCTCAAAAATCTGTTAACATGAGTAGAGCTTTATAAAAGAAGTAATAAAAATTCTCGATTTAATATGGAAGATATTGAAAGATGAAGCTACGATTTTCAAAACTAAATTTAGGCAAATGTCAAATTTTTCGATTTCGCGTAAAATCGAAAATCCTGTCATAATTGTAAGAAAAAAAATTGGGCGTTTTAAGAATATTCAAAAAAAAATTAATATAGAACTAAAAATTCCATGAACAATGCCATAGGGATTTAGTGACAAAAAATAATAAAAGCTATCCGTACTGAAATCTAAATTTTTAAATCTCCCATTTTATACATAAATTTTTAAATTTTGGAAAAATGTCAGAATCAATTTAAAAAAAACGAGAATTCCGGATTTGAAAGTGACTGAAGAGGTGAGATATATGAACAGGTTGATATATACTCTCCTGTAACTCTCTCATTCTACCTCATTAGCTCTTTCATTCCCTCTTCAAAGTTATAAAGGAAAGAAATTTAAAAATGATAAAATTTAGATCAAAGATGACAGCATGCAAAATGGTATTAGAGAATAAGGAATTAGTTCAATAATGCGGAAAATATTTACAAGATTAATAAAAAATACAGAATTTTGTTTTTGGGTTATTGGACAAACTTCGAACAGCAGATCTTTTTCTCATAATTTGGAATTTTTATTTACAAAACACTTTTATTTATAAACAATTTCCAACCCTACTTAGTTTAATTCTATCAAATTATGCGACCAATTTTATTACGTAATATTAAAGGTTCACCA